CTCTCTCTCTCTCTCTCTCTCTCTCTCTCTCTCTCTCTCTCTCTCTCACTTCGCTGCTGCTCTGACATGTGCAAGGCACTATACTAATGACAGCCCATACACTGAGGAATGTGCTTTACCAGCAAAAAGACCCGTGGGCCACAGCAGTCAGAGAAAACCTATCATTTCCCCCATACACAGAAGGAGAAAATTAAAAGAGCTGTCTCCATTTTAAACAGTACTATTCTTACATTTCCTCTTGAAGCCTCTAGTCTTTCTCTGCCAGGTCAACTAGACTTCAGCGTGAGGTACTAAGTGACTTAGCCTACAATTATAACTTGTTACTCTGACACTCAATTTCTATACAGATTTGAAAACCATTATACTAAAAGATGAAGACTTAAAATAGGTTAGGCTGGGCTGGAGAGGTGGCTCTGTGGTTAGGAGCATGTATTAATGCAGAGGTGGCTCACTACTGCCTGAAACACCAACTCCCAAGGACTTCAAGGGGACCTGTGCTCACATGTGCTCAAATCCACATGTATAGAGCCCCCACACTCCCACACATGCACATACTCAATTGAAAATAAATATACATTTAAAATAGATTAGGCAATGGTGGGTCAATTTCCTCAATGAGTTGTAACCCAATTACAAAGAGCAAATTAGAGAATTTTAATATTTAAAGAATTTTAATAAGTGGTGAAAAAGAGTAGTTGAGCAAGTTCTACATGCAATCTGTGAAGACAGTGAGATCATCAGGAAAATGAAATACTAGCAATGCGAAAGAGGGTGGCTCAAAACAAGCAGGCTAAAATCTCAGCTTTGAAAGAGAGATCCTTAGCATGGCCAGGACAATGAAGGGCAGTCTGGTGGCAGCTTCAGAGTGTGTGCCATGATGTTGCCACTGCAGAGCCCTTGAGTTTTTATCTGCCTTACAGCAGGGAGAAAAAAAATTAAAGTCAAGTCATACAAATAAATTGTCAATTTATATTAGACTAAGTCTGCTGCTACATACTGTGAACATCCTAAAAGACTAGAAAGCAACCTGGCCTTCTTTAACTTCAGTGAGCATTTCTGCCCTCAAAATTTGAACTGTATCTATGTGAATGGTTCCAAAATCCCCATCATCCCTCCACTAGATTGGACTGATCACATGAAAGCCAGGTATAGCAGTGCATGCCTTTAATCCTATCCCTGGGAAGGCTGAGTCAGGCAGATCTTCTGAGTTCCAGGCTAGGCTGGTCTACAGAATGAGTTCAGTACTGTCGAGGACTACACTGTGAGACCCTGTCTCTTACAAGAAAACAAAAATCACATGGGATTTCACTCTCTCTCCTTCTCCAGGGACCGCTCATTTCTGAGGACACTATCACTCTGTTCAGTTCTCTTTGCTCCTTCTCCTCATCTCTGGTATTCTACCTCATAGGCTTGGCCATGTCTTCCTTTGAGCCATTCTTCTGCTGGGCATTTTCTTTCTCATTTGTACATCTCATCTATTTTCTACTTCACACTCTAGTAGTAGGTTGACCTCTCTGTCTTATCTGCCTTAAACTTTCTGTTTTACTCTCTGTCCTACAGTCTTGGGTTTGCTTTGGTTTTGTACTTTGGTCTTTGTTTCTATGTAGTTCTAGCTAGCCTGGAACTGACAGATCTGCCCACCTCTGCTTCCTGAGTACTGAGAGTAAAGGCACGCACCACTCCTCACCCCATTTGTTCTTTAATCAAATGGCTTTCTTCAAACCTGCAGCAGTGACCTGTGCCTGCTGTATGTAATAGTGTGTGACCTGGAGCCACACTAGTTGTCACTTGTCTCACAGCTCCTGCACATCTTTATCCGCTAGCACCACGTCAAACAATAACAACCTGCCATGCAGCGCTCACACAGCTCCTTCTGCCTCGCTTTCTTACTCTTACATGTGATGCCTTGTCCTGCAAGCCAACTTTTAATTCTTCAAAATATACTGTCTGATCTTAATAATAGGGCTATTTGATGATATAACCCACATGGACCTTGTGATTATCTGCCTTCCTTCTATGTTCATAATTAGCATCATGGCCCCCAGGTTAACTGTTCTAGTTGTTTCATATAGATGCTGTCCAAAGTAGTCTCACTTGTTTCCACAGTTTTAACAGTTTCCATTTTAACAAATCATAAACTGATTTCTAAATCTAAACCCCACAATTGTCTTCTTTGCTAAGCTTCAGGCTCATACATCCAGCTGACCGTGCCCCTTGGACATCTAATGGACATCTGAGATTTAGCATGCCCAAACAGAACTCTTACCAGTGAAATGCAACTTAAACCTCTCTAGTCTTGCTCATTTTAGTCCCATTAGGCATGCAGTTTCTAAGGCCAAAAATCTACATATGATTCTCTTCTTTTTCCTTCACATCCTAAAGCCTATCAGGGCCATTTACAGGGTTAGGCCCAAAGTGTAGCCAACTCCAATTCCTCCTCATTATCACCCACTCAAGCTGCAGTTGCCGTCTCTACAGTGCCCCCTAGCTGTCACTCTGCTCCTGCTCAGTCTGCTCTTCAGAGTGGCTTGTTCCATCTACTGGGAGCCCAAACCAGACCATACAATACTCCAGCTTAAAATTCTCCAGTAGCTTCCTATTGCATTGCATTAATAAAGTAACACACTCACCATGGTGCCGAGGACCCTAAATAGCCTGTCCTATTCCTACCTTTCTGACCGCAAGTTCTGCTACCTGACTGACCCCACAACACGTTAGCCCAACTGGCTTTCCTTCCACCCTTTAAGACGGATGGAAGTGCTTCTCCACTAGCTGCAGCTCCAGCCTTACTCCCTATCCACAGGGTCCTTCATACAACTGCCTTCGTTTTCATTTTTAAAGTTTCTGTTCAAATATCATTCTTCCTGAAGGACTCAGTCAGCACAAAGTAAAGTCACACTCTATCCTATTTGTCTAGTCTTAAAGGATAGACAGACAGAATTTCCCCTCCCAGTAGGATAAAACTTTACTTCTTAGCATCTTCCATTACAATTTGCCTGCTACAACCTTGTGTATGTAAAAACTCTTAATAAATATTTATCAAGCAATTTATAGGAAGCACTATCTGCAAAATTAATATTAAGTTTTCTAAAGCTAGAATCAAATCCAGAGGATCTGCAAAAAAATTAATAACACCATGACGACAATTTAACATAAGTTCAGAACATGACTATTGACTTTAACAACAAGTTTTTCAGAGTCACTCAAACATGAAATTCTACTGCAACCACTTATATTTCATTAAAATGACAACCTCTAGGCAAATGACTCTAGTGAAACAAACTGAGGTCTTACTTAATGTTATAGTGTCCAGTTTTCAGTGTACATCTATCAGGAAATTGAGCAAGTTTCCTTGAGAGCATTTTAAAGTACTTTCTGCACTCCTGCATTCCTGTGCTCTGCTCATAATCAGTAGATGCAGACAGTGGTAGTCCATCCCTGACACGAATGACTGAAGCAGATAAAATCATAGACATTTCAACCCACAGAAGACCTAAAATAAAATGAGAAATCTGAATTAAATAAAAATCAAGACCAAAACAGGTAAGCATTTATACAACTTTCAAAATTAGTAATAATCAGAGTATTAATTAAAATAATGACAATATATTCCAAGAACCTTCCACTTAACAAGGTTTTTAAAAAATATATATCTTATTTTATGTATATGAATGTTTGTCCACATGTATGTATGCACAACATGTGCACGCCTGGTGCCCTTGGAGAAGAGAGGGCCCTTGATATGTTAGAACTGGAGTTACAGAGAGTTGTGAGTAGCTATGTGGGTAATAGAGTCTTCTGCAAGAGTTAACAAGTGCTCTTAAGCACTGAGCCATCTCTCCCACTACCAAACAGGCTTTTTAAAATGGCATTTGCAAGCTGGGGAGATGGCTGAATAAATAACACTTGCAGGGCACACCATCTGATGGTGTGAGTTTGGCTTCCTAGAATACACGAAAAATGGAGACATGGCTATACGAGTAAATATCTATAATCCAGGTAGTTAGGAATTGGAGACACACGAATTCCCAGAAGCTCTGAGGCCAGATGGCCTGGTATATGGCAGTGAGCAAGAGACCCTGTCTCAAACAAGGTGGGAATGCAAGAACCAGAACCTTAGGTTGTCCTTTGACCTCCACACATGTGCTGTGGCACACATATGTTCCTCCACACATATGCTTGACCCCTAGCCAGTGTTCATAGTGCTAAAAGTTGCTATACAAGCTACTGGAGAAAGGCAGCCATCCACTTCACCCAACTATGAACACTGTAAGCTCTAATAATGACCTGCCTACAGTGCCCAGAGGTGGCAATGTGTTACAGGAGTAACTAATCTTTTTTTTAATTGAATTTAAGATCCACTCCATGAGCCAGTACCCATAGCTACCTGAGCCTGGATGGCTCATGGGGCGAGGGGGAAACCTACTAATTTTCTGTTAAATGGTTACTGAAGTAAAATAATTTCTATCCCAATAGATCAGTGCACCACTCAACCCTAATCAGAGAAGCTGTTTCTCAGAGTAGACAGTAACTAACACAGAAACCCACAACTGGACAATATGCAGAAAATGAGAGCCCTAAATGGGATGTCTTTATCATACCTGTCCCCTCAAAGCTCAGGGATCTATGCAGAAGAGGATGGGGGTGGAAGGGTGCAAGACCCAGAGGTGGAGGATGGGTTCAAGGAAAATAGCATTTTCCAGGCACAACAGGGCAGAAGTACATATGGAGCTCACAGAGACTGTCACCGCATACACAAGATCTGTACCAACTCAAGCCAGACAAAATCTAGCCAAGAAGCTATTAGCAATGAATAGCTGCTGGTAAAAGTAAAGTTAGTTTCCTTCAATGGGAGTGACACTGAACACAATTATCAACCACACTCCAAGCAAGCCCCATGCTCAGGAACACAAAAGGGACTCCTTGATTTTTGCTGTTGTTGTTTTGGTTTTGTTTTATTTCGTTTAAGAGAGACAGACGCTCAGGATTGTGGTGCATGCCACTATTCCCAGCACTTGGGAGGCAGAGGCAGGTGGATTTCTGAGTTCGAGCCCAGCCTGGTCTACACAGAGAGTTCTAGGTCAGCCAGGATGCCACAGAGAAACTCTAAAGGGGGCGGGGAAGGGGAGGAGGAAGAGGAAGAGAAGGAGGAAGAAGAGGAAGAGGAGGAAGAAGAGGACGAGAAGGAGGAGGAAGAGGAAGAGGAGGAGAATGAGAATATGAAGCTGGGTGGATAAGGAAGTGGAGGAGGATCTGGGAAGAGTGGGGGTGGCAGCAAAAGAATATAGTCAAATATATTGCATGAAATTCTCAAAGAATAAATTAAAAATAAAATAAACTTGAGAGTTAAAAAAATGAAAGCACTGGGACTGGAGAGATGGCCCCGCAGTTAAGAGCACTGACTGTTCTTTCAGAGGTCCTGAGTTCAATTCCCAGCACCCACATGGTGGCTCACAATCATTTGTAATGGCATCCGATGCCCTCTTCTGCTTTGTCTGAAGACAATGTAATCATATACATAAAATAAATATCTTTTTAAAAAATGAAAGCATTAATAGCAAATACTGGTGACTGATTCAGAGACATTGTCCTGCTATGTAGCCCTGGCCGTCCTGGGTCCACTAGCCCCAAATTTATAGTAGACCTCCTGACTCAGCTCTGGGGTACTGAACTTATAAATATGTACCACCGTGATCAGCAATAAATTTAAGTATGTAATCTTACCCTGAGGAAAAAATTCATAAATCCAGGTAAAAAGTTAAATGAATACTCTTAAAATCACATAATTTAAAAATATAAGATGACAAATAATAGTATACCCATATGACAGAATACAGTGTAGCAACTAAAAGGTATCTGAAACTAAAAAGCTTAATAATGTGGCAAAATCTTGATGTGATAAGTTTAAAAAGTTTTAAAAAGCAGGATAAAAACTGCATATTTTACTAGGTAAAGTGGCACATAACTATGATCGTAACACTTAAGAGGGCAGAAGAGGGAGGATTATGGGTTGGAGGCTAGCCTGGGCTATAACACAAAGCCTTGTCTTTAAAAAAATGTTTTAGACAAACATATATTCAGAGATTCCTAATATATACTTCCAGCTAATAAACAGAAGCAGAACACAGCTGCCAAGGCACTGAAAGGTTGTCAGAGGGGTGTTTCTACTTATCAGTAGATAAAGATTTTTTTCCTATGGAGAAAAAGTTACCTCTGTCCAGAGTAATTTAACATCCAAACAAATTAAGGAGAAGACAAAGAAGAAGATGAAGAAGAAAGAAAGGAAAAGTGCTGGAGAGATGGCTCAGTGGTTAAGAGCACTCATTGCTCTTCTCCTGAGTTCAATTCCCAGCAACCACATGGTGGCTCACAACCATCTGTGATGGGATCCAATTCCCTCTTCTGATGTGCCTGAAGACAGCTTACAGTGCACTCATATACATGAGATCAATCTATCAAACAAACAAACAAATAAATAAATTTTAAAAAAAGAAAGGAAAAAAGGAGGAGGAGGAGGAGGAAGAAAAGGAAGAAGACGAGGAAGAAGAGGAAAAAGAATAAGAGGAGGAAGAGAAGGAGGAGGAGAAAGAGGAGGAAGAGGAAGAAAAGGAGGAGGAGGAGGAAGAGGAAGAAACAACTAGAATACAGAGACCCAACGAACAATGAAGCTTTAAGTAAATTACAGACATACTCTATTCACCTTAGGATAAGCAGTCTTTTTCACTTCAAAAATCATACCACCCTTTTTAATAAAAGGTTTACTTTAGATTCTTATAGGAGTATATTAAAAATCGAACAATTGCCCTCACTTGGTCCTTTTGCCTGGGGCAGACACCTAGCTGGTCTGCTCCCGTGAAATTACCACATCCTGAGCCATCCTAGAGGAGCCACTGCACTCAGAACAACAGGTAAGAACCCTTTCCCACTACCCTAAGCCCCAGAGCTACAACTGGGAGCCTGGGGCGCTCAGGACCCATCAGCCACTCAAACCCCGACCCTCTGGAATACCACTCCCCTTCCGCCCCTCCCTTGGTCCTTTTGGCTAGAGCAGACACCTAGCTGGTCTGCTCCCATGAAGACACTGTATCCTGAGCCATTCTAGAGGAGCCACTCCACTCAGAGCAGCAGGATTTCAGGATCCCAGAGGTGGCCTGAGTCCCAGGAGTTCTTCCACCGAGGAGCTCAGAATCACAGGATCACAGAAACAACTGGATTCTGAGGAGTTCTGACACAAGCAAGATAACTGGAAAGACAGGTTCCAGTCAGAGACAGTGCAGGTAGCACTAGAGTTAATCAGATGGCAAAAGGCAAGCACAAGAACATAAGCAACAGAAACCAAAGTTAACTGGCATCATCAGAACCCAGTTCTCCCACCATAGCAAGCCCTGGACACCCCATCACACCAGAAAAGCATGATTCAGAATTAAAATCACTTCTCATGATGATGATGATAGAGGACTTTAAGAAGGACATAAATAACTCCCTTAAAGAAGTATGGGGGAACACAGGTAAACAGGTAGAAGCCTAGCTAAAGAGGAAACACAAAAATCACTTAAAGAATTGCAAGAAAACACAACCAAACAGGTGAAGGAATTAAACAAAACCATCCAGGATCTAAAAATGGAAGTAGAAACAATAAAGAAATCTCAAAGGGAGACTACCCTGGAGATAGAAAACATAGGAAAGAGATCAGGAGTCATACACCCAAGCATCACCAACAGAATACAAGAGACAGAAGAGAGAATCTCATGTGCAGAAGAAACCATGGAAAACATTGACACAACTGTCAAAGAAAATGCAAAATGCAAAAAACTCCTAACCCAAAATATCCAGGAAATCCAGGACACAATGAGAAGACCAAAACTAAGGATAATAGGTATAGATGAGAGTGAAGATTCCCAACTTAAAGGGCCAGTAAATATCTTCAACAAAATTATAGAAGAAAACTTCCCTAACCTAAAGAAAGAGATGTCCATGAATATACAAAAAGCCTACAGAACTCCAAATAGACTAGACCAGAAAAGAAATTCCTCCTGTCACATAATAATCAAAACATCAAATGCATAAAACAAAGAAAAAATATTAAAAGCAGAAAGGGAAAAAGGTAAAGTAACACATAAAGGCAGACCTATAAGAATTATACCAGAATTCTCACCAGAGAATCCATTCTTATCTCCCTGTACACAGCTCAAGTCCAAGTGGATAAAGGACCTTCATATAAAACCAGATACAATGAAACTAATTGAAGGTGGGGAAAATCCTCGAATACTTAGGCACAGGGGGAAAGTTCCTGAACAGAACACCAATGGCTTATGCTCTAAGATCAAGAATTGACAAATAGGACCTCATAAAATTGCAAAGTTTCTGTAAGGCAAAGGACACTGTCAATAGGATGAAATGGCAACCAACAGATTGGAAAAAGACCTTTACCGATCCTATATCCAATAGAGGGGCTAATCTCCAAAATATGCAAACAACTTAAGATGTTAGACTCCAGAGAACCAAATAATCCTATTAAAAATGGGGTACAGAGCTAAACAAAGAATTCTCAACTGAGGAAACTCAAATGGCAGAGAAGCACCTAAAGAAATGTTCAACATCCTTAGTCATCAGGGAAATGCAAATCAAAACAACCCTGAAATTCCAACTCACACCAGTCAGAATGGCTAAGATCAAAAACTCAGGTGATAGCAGATGCTAGCGAGGATGTGGAGAAAGAGGGACACTCCTCCATTGTTGATGGGATTGCAAGCTGATACAACCACTCTGGAAATCAGTCTGGTGGTTCCTCAGAAAATTGGACATAGCATTACCTGAGGACCCAGCTATACTATTCCTGGGCATATACCCAAAAGATGCTCCAACATATAACAAGGACATATGCTCCACTATGTTCATAGCAGCCTTATTTATAATAGCCAGAAGCTGGAAAGAACCCAGATGTCCTTCAACAGAGGGATGGAAACAGAAAATGTGTTACATTTACACAATGGAATATTACTAAGCTATTAAAAACAATGAATTCGAGAAATTCTTAGGCAAATGGATAGAACTAGAAAAGATCATCCTGAGTGAGGTAACCCAATCACAAAAGAACACACATGGTATGCACTCACTGATAATTGGATATTAGCTCAAAAGCTTGCAATATCCAAGATACAACTCACAGACCACATGAAGCTCATGAACAAGGAAAACCAAAGTGTGGGTGCTTCAGTCCTTCTTAGAAGGAGTAACAAAATACTCATGGAAGCAAATATGGAGACAAATCGTGGGACAGAAACTGAAGGAGGGGCCATCCGGAGACTGCTACACCTGGGTATCCATCCCTTGTGCAGTCACCAAAGACAGGCGATGATGTGGATGCCAGGAAGTGCATGCTGACAGGAGTCTGATAATAGCTGTTTCCTTAGAGGTCTGCCAGAGTCTGAAATATATAGAGGCGGATGCTCAGAACTAACCATTGGACTAAGCATGGGGTTCCCAGTGGAAGAGTGAGAGAGAAGACTGAAGGAGCTGAAAGGGTTTGCGGCCCCATGAGGAGAGCAACAATACCAACCAACCAGAGCTCCCAGGGTCTAAACCACCAGCCTGGGAGCACATAGGGAGGGACCCATGGCTCCAGCTGTATATGTAGGGGAAGATGACATTGTCGGGCATAGGTGGGAGAGGAAGTCCTTGGTCCAGTGAAGGCTGGATGCCCCAGTGTGGGGGAATTCTTGGGTGGAGAGGTGGGAGTGGGAGGGTGGGTGGGGAATGGGGAAACGGGATCACATCTGAAATGTAAATAAAATATCCAATAAAAAAATTGAGGGCAAAAAAAAAAAAGAAAATGTGGTATATATACACAATGGAATTCTATTCATTGATTTAAAAATAAAATAATTAAATTTTCAAGTAAATGGAAAAAAAATTTGAACAATTAAACAAACCAGGAGTGTGCCTGTATAAAGGCCTACCTAGAGTACACACACAGAAGAGCCAGGCAGTGTGGAGGCTGAGAAAACCAGGGAAGAGTGATGAAACTAAGGCAAGCAAGAGGATGTAATGACTGCCTGGGAAGCTTTGGAAAGGGTATCAGCTTTTTCTACCAGGACCATAGATAAATCTGATAAATACCAATCTCTCGATTAACTTCTGCCTTGTATTTTTAATAATAAAATACAAATTCAGTTTTGAGACATCAGGCTTTTTTTCTCCTAAATCTAAATTAAAGAAAACTTTGTTCTATTTATATGTGCTTGAAATATTTTGGAGGCTTGCTCTTTTAAATGTTTCCTCTGCTTACCAAATCATCTTACATAAAGGATGGTACCAAAGTGTGGGAACTAATTGTTACATATCATTTTGTTAAAATAATTTCTGAACTCTGAATTATAAGGGAGTAATCTGAAAATTGGCTGCATAATTGTGATGCAAAGGCTGGAGCCAGATTGATTGAACTTAATTGACCATATTAATTGGAAAGCTCAGACTGTGAGAAGACTGAATGAAAATAAAGGAAAAAGGTACCAAGGACTTCCAGACTTTATTGTGATGGTTTGCCAGCACTGTCTACCTCATTAGCATCCTTGCTGCTTGCTTCTTCTGTGGCCCCTGCACGGCACACTATATGTAAACCTCAAGTTCCACAGCAAAATATACCAATGATAAGAGAAAGGGGCCCTAACATACATCAGTACCATATAGTTCAGATAGGTATAAACTTCAATTTCCCCGTAAGAAAACTGACACTTGCTCAAGTTCACCTCTAGTATATCACAGGGCTGATACTTGAGCCTAAAAACATTACTGCTGTAACAGCCTTCCCAAGCCAGGAAAGCAACAAGCAGGAAAAAACAGCCATACATTCATACATACATTTGTTTGTTTATTTATTTATTTATTTTTAATTTAGACAGTTCCACAAAGCTCCAGCCTGGTTTGAAGTCACCAAGTAGCCAGGACTGGTCTTGAACTCCTGATCCTCCAGTCTCCACCTCCCAGGTGCTGGTATTACACGCTTGCATCCTAACACCTGGCTTAGCTGACCATTTTTAAGTAACAATAATAATAAATAGGAACATTTCCTTTGAAAGGTAACATAATACCGTAATTTAAAAAGTCAAATTCAGGCTGGGGAGATAGCTTGGTGGCTAAAGCACTTACTAAGCAGTTATGAGGACTAATAATGTCCAGATCCCTAAAGCTCAAAGAATAGACAAGTCCAATAATCCCTATAGATGGGAATCTCCACGAAGGGAGATCAGCTAGCTGAAGTGACTGGAACTGGCAAACTCCAGGTTTTTTTTTTTTTTTTTTTTTAAAAAAACCATCTCAAATAAATGGAGGGCAATCAGATCAGGGACTATACTGGAAGTCAACATCCAACCTTCATACACACCTACATATACAAGTATACCAACATACATTTGAATACACACATACACATGCACACACAATTAAGTGTAAAATTAAAAAAGAATACATGAATTTTAAAAGGCCAAACTCCCAGATTGCCCAGATTTAAATCCATGGTCTAGCAGATACTTTCAGCTTTACTTTACAAAGCCTCAATCTCCTATCTTACAAGGTCCTTTTTAAGATGCCAATAGCCTCTATCTCTATGCTAACCAAAGTACTTGCCTGTAATCTACTAAAAGTTTAAGTATTTTGTTATATTCCCTACTGACAAGCTACCTACCCTCTGAAGGCCACCTACCCTCTGTAGGCCAAGCACTTCACACACCTCATTTGAGCCTTCCAGGAACCTATAAGGTTGGGTATTAGTTTCATTTTGTTTTGGAGGAAACACAAGTCTCAAAACTTTAAGTCATTTGTTAAACCCCTAGACTAGTAAGTAATAAATTGTTACTAACTCTAATAACTCTATGAAACATTGCCTCTAAACATATCCAAGCTTCTTGACTACACGGAGAGGAAGGTCACAAGTATCTCTTTGCTAGGAGTTTCTTTTCATACACCAAACTAAACCATACTTAAACTTTAATCAGTCTCTGAAAATAAAGTACTAAACTAATGTGATCGTCTTAAGTGGAAAAAGCCCGATGCTTCAGTAACTTTTGGTTAGGAGTGTCAGGTTCAGTTCTGTCTTCCTTTACACACCAGAAGCTCTAAGTATTGTTTAAGATACCACCTAACTTCTCACAGTGGTGGCAAATGGGTGGGTACCAGTAACATGGAATGTGATTCCGTTTTTAAAAAATGGTTGTTCTACCCATCAGCTGGGATTCTATCACCTGTAGCCTGGCGGAACACCCAGGCTCTGCCCAGAGTTAAGCACAGGAGGGGCGGGTTCTGAAGAGTTCCAACTGCTCCATGTGAGGGTGACCCCGGAAGCTAAGTAGCAAGAGATCCCCACTTGTGGAGCCAATTTCTCAGGTCTCTTTTCTGCCACAGAAAGTCACCAAGTACCTTTAAACAGGGCCTCACGGGATTTCCCAGAGCCAACGAGGCGATCTCCAACTGCAACGCCCACTCGGACTTCACAAATCACAGGGTACAAGCTACCCCGCCCAAAAGAAAGAAGGAATGCCACCTCAAGCTCTCTCTCGGGCCACCTACCAGCCCGAGTGAGTCGCTGTGCTTCTGACATCGGGGGCCATGGAGTCAACACCACGGCTCGTTGGCAGCCCGGGGAGACCGTCTCTCCTCATCAGCCGCCCCTACTCCGGCCGCCCATCCTAGGGCTGGCCTGCCAAACAGCAACCGCCGTCCGCGAGGCTCGCAGCCCTAGGTCACAGGGACCCAGACCCCGCACACCGGCCCTCCTAAGCTCTGCGACCAATGCCACCAAGCTCCGGCTCGGACACTACCGGTCAAGCCGAGGTGGAACTCCGAGAGCGGCGCGAGCAGCCGGCCAGAGCTCCGAGAGACCCTGAGGAAGCTGAAAAGAGGGGCCGGGCCGTACCTGTCGCTCCGGGACCCGCCGCTCGGAGTGACGCGCCACGCAGTGCATTGTGGGGCCGGGAGTGGCCTTCCAGGGGATGCCCGCGTCCAACGTGGCTGGCGCCGGCGGAGCTCGCGCCGGCCTATCGGGTGCCGTGGGAAGCATCCAAAGACCCTCCCCTTTCCGAGGCCCGCCCTATCCCCGCCTCGTCCAGCAGAGATTGGCGGGTTTTCCTGCACCTGCGCCAGGAGATTCCCTTCTCTCCTAAGAACAGAATTATACTGTCCTTCCGAAATAAGGCTAATCTCTTTCACCTGCTGCTTTGTGTCTGGAAGCACTTTGTCTCTCGTGCGCCACTTGGGACAGAGAAAAAGCTCCCTCTGGTGAACAGGGAAAGGATCTTCTTCCGTCAAGCACTACACAAAGAAACTTACCAAAACAGAGAGAAATGCCAGATGCCAGCCTCAGTAGCTCCTCCCAGCCCACGAGATTATGTATTATTAAACAAGCATATGCTGAATATCAATTAAGTGGTAGGCAGCATATTAAGCATGTTTTACAGAAATGTACACAGCACTCCTTTTAAGGTATAATAGGAGTAAAAGGCATTAAGGCAAAATTGTTACAGAAATATACATTGTGATTGGTACTGTGAAGAAAAACTAATAGGTACATTGATGAATTAGCTGTGGACTGTTGGGGAAGAGCTCCATGATTAAGTACCTTTTAAGGTCAAGGCATATTAAGGGAACTTTAAGAATGTTCTAGGCTCTGGAAACATGATTTGTGGGCATTTAAATTGTTCTAGGAAGGTGTGCTGGTTGGTTTCTGTCAACTCAGCAGAAACTTTAACATAGCTAGAAGAAATCTTGAGAAACTGCCTCTGTAAAATTGGCCTAGTGGACAAGTGTGTAGGATATTGCCTTAATTGATGACTGATACAAGAGGCCCCGCCCAATGTGGGCAGTCTTCACCCCGGTGCAGTTAGTCCTGGGTTGTACCAGAAAGAAGGCTGAGCAAGCCAAGGGCAGGAAGCTAGTAAGCAGCCCTCCCCCATGACTTCTGCCTCATTTCCTGCCTCCAGATTCCTGCCTTGAGCTCCTGCCTCCACTTCCTTTCATAGATGAAATAAATCCTTTCCACTCCAGGTTGCCTTGGGTCACCATCTTTAATCTTATCAATAGAAATCCTAAAACAGAGTATGGGGCAAGAAGTTTAGGCTGAAATGAGGCAAGGGCTAACTCTCTTTGCCTACTTTATACAGTTCAGTCTTTAATCAGCAACACATCCTAAGATTAATGCAGAGCTAATAAAGACTCTTAAGTAGGATCCGATTTACATATTCTGAAGCTCATTCTGCTGTTTATGGAGATGGATGGATAGAGGGCAAGAAGGGTTACTGATGGGCCAGTTTGGAAGCAGTTGTATTGGTCAAGGCCACAAATGATGGTGGCTTAAACTAAGATAATGGTAGTAGAGGCAGAAAGAGATGGATAATTTCAAGATATGAATAAATCATAGGTGGAATTCATGGGGCTTAATGGACTGACTTTTTGGAGCAGGTCAAAAAAAAAAGGAGACTATTAAACATGATTCCTTAAGTAACTAGATGGGTTAAGAAGCCATTAGGATTCACAAAGTGTAGCAGATGTGTGGGGCTATGTTAAATTTGAAGACCTATAAATGGGAATGTCAAGAAGCAGTTTGGGATAAGTATGCCTAGGGCTCAGGGGGAAGATCTGAACTAATTATGCATTTGGCAGTTCTTAGTAGGACTTAACAGAGCATTCCACTTCAAGATAAAGTTTCAAGAGAAATGTATTCATATGTATTTAAAATGTCTATAGAATGAATATGTTGTGGACTAGTCACACAGTCTAAGGAAAAAGAACCACAATCAACTACTATATACAAATCACCACTGAAGACTGAAATAAGCCAGACACAAAAACACATGTCACATGACTCCACTTACATGATATTAAAAAACCTCTACATAGGTATTGAAGGCAGGATGTTGTTTACCCTTGTGTGGTATTAATGTTTGAAATGGAAAATGAATGTTCTTCTTGATCTGGACACTGGCCATTCTATGCGACCAATTAACAAAACTTCTTTAAACTATGTGTTTTTGATTCACTTAAAATTTTGGTGTGTAAAGTTTATATCTAAGCTTCCAAGCATAATCAGAAGAAAACAAAACCAAGTCTGAGGAACAGGTGCTTGCAGGCATTTTCTAATCCCGGCAGTCACTTTATGCTCATAGAAAGAGGAAGCCAACAGGGTGAACTCCCAAGTTTTCCCAGATTGCTTTCTGGGGATAACATTGGAAGTACAGGCTAGAAGGAAGCCAAGCAGAGGTGCGGCCCCATGATGAGGAGGAGATGAGCAAGAGCTTTAATCAGAAATCAGAATACCAGAGAAAGAACTCCAGGAGTATACACAAAGGTTCTTGGCAAATAGCAGCTACTGGGAAATGTAAATGAAAATAACTACTAGAGTTTCAAAGAAGTTTGGAAACATTCAAGCTCTAAGTAATTAGGTCAGGAAAAAAAGACACATTAGAAATGTAGAACATTCAGTAGAGAGACTCTTAGACAAACAACACTTTGGAAACAATATTAAATTACCACAAACAACATTGAAAAGCTGTTCTTCAAATAATTTAAGCAGGGCAGTGGTGGTGCACGCCTTTAATCCCAGCACTTGGGAGGCAGAGGTAGGCAGATTTCTGAGTTCGAGGCCAGCCTGGTCTACAGAGTGAATTCCAGGACAGCCAGGGCTATACAGAGAAACCCTGTCTCGAAAAACCAATAATAATAATAATAATAATTTAAGTACTTAACTACAGAAATTTAAGTCTTAAAAGAAAGGACAGGATTGGAGCATTGGTCCAGTGGTTAAGAAGCACTCTGTTCTTGTAGAGGACCTGGGTTATGGTTCCCAGCCCCCACATGGCAGTTCACAACTATCTGTAACTCCAGCTCTGTAGGATCCAACATCCTTTTCTGACCTCCCTGATGTATAGATATACATGCAGGCAAAACTCTACACTTAAAAATAAAAATAAATATTTCTTCAAAAAATTTCAGAAATTTGACTCACAGTGTCTAATATCCACTAAAAATCACAGTATGTGGGAAGAAGCAGGAAAGTGTGAAGCATAAAGAGGAGGAAAATCTGTTAAAACAAAACAGATCTAAACATGACATAGATAATAGATGATATTGGGTTTTAAAGCATTGCATGACTTTAAAACAGTAGCTATAAATGTGGTCAAGAATTTAAAGGAACAAGCTGGGTAGTGGTGGCGCATGTCTTTAATCCCAGTGCTTGGGAGGTAGAGGCAGGTGGATTTCTGAGTTTGAGGCCAGCCTGGTCTACAGAATGAGTTCCAGGACAGCCAGGGCTATACAGAGAAACCCTGTTCTAGAAAAATAAACAAACAAAAAAAGAATTTAAAGGAACATAAATGAGAGAAAAATGCAAGTAACAAAATTAAACATTTAGGGCCAAGAAACGCAGCATCTGAAATGAAAGGTTTACTTTTTACGCAGTTCAGACACTGCCAAAAATCAGAACACAGCAACAACAACACAGGAAAATATGAATGTAAAAAATAGATAACTATCTCTATTTCCACACAGGCAGGGATGGAGAAATGGCTTGGCCAGCAGAGGCTCTTTCTGTGAAAGCTTGGTGACAAGAGTTGGCTCCTTGGAACCCATGTAAAGATGAAAGGAGGGAACTGACTCTACAGGTTGTCCTCTGACAAACACACACACACACATACACAGTGGCACATGTACACCACACACACATACATCATGCACACAAATGCACATAATATGTATATATACATACATACATACATACATACATACATACATACGAATGTAAGCTGGGCCTGGTGGCACATCTCTCTAATCTTAGCACTTGGGAGGCAGAGTTAAGCAGGTCTCTGTGCGTTTCAAAGCCTAGTCTAAATAGTAAATTTCAGACCAGCCAGGGCTACACTTGTTTTAAAACAAACAAACAAACAAACAAACAAACATACATACAAATAAATAACACTAGAAACTACAAGCCTAGGCTCTACAGTGAGTTCTAGACCCTAAGTCACACAACGTAACCCTGTCCCCTTCCTACCAAAAATGAAATAAGGAAAACTGGAGCAAAACCCAATTTGGATGGATATCAATATTTTATACTCAATCTTAACCACAGGGACAGTTTAAATGAAATGTAAATGCTCTCAGCACTTCAAGTAAAAGTCAAATATTATTATGTTGGATTTTTTTCTAAAGATATAACCCAACCTATGCTCTCTTCAAGATGTCTGCTTTAACAATGAATGCACAGCTATGTTAACAATTAAAAGATTTTTTAAAAATGAAAAACCCAATAATTAAACAAAATAAAATGAAAATAGCCATGTTAAGTATCAAAGTAAACATGAAAGCCCTCAAGGTTGAAGAGTGATGTTGTGTAACGACATCAGAAAGAAAAGTGCATAGAACAGACTCTGGTAAACTGAAAGGAGAAACAGGTACAGCCATTATTATCAATGGAGATCTCAGCATACTCCCTTCTCTAGTGATGGAGGAAGTCAATGAAAGTAAGTAAGGACATAGAAGATGAGCAATTTACCATGGCAGCACTCCACAGTACTTCACTAGACAACAGTGGAACTCACATTGTTTTCCAGGGCACATACAATCTTCATTAAGGGAAAGCACATTCTGGACCATAAAAATAATTATAAGAAACATTCATGAAAGACA